CCCCGTGTTCTGGACCATCTAACCCCCCCGTGTTCTGGACCATCTAACCCCCCCGTGTTCTGGACCATCTAACCCCCCCATGTTCTGGACCATCTAACCGCCTTCCAGAGGTGTTTAGTTGCATCTTTACAGACTCAGACTAAGTGGCCACTTTTAAATTCTCTGGTTGATCTGTTCTTGGTGCAGAAAAAGTCACACTTTAATTTTCACACAGCTTTTAGAGGTTAGTTTTTACTGAAACATTTTAAACACATCAAGTCACCCTGTCACCGTTACGCTAGCAGTTTACCCTGATTTTCAGCTCTAGAGTCTTCAGACCAAACGGACCGATGGAGACCAGGGATGAAGCAGGTTCAGTTCTTTCATGCACAACAACTTAAATTTCTGTCTCTGATGGTGAGTCAGCTCTCACACCTGGCTCCTCAGTCAGAGTCACAGTCATCAGATGACCCGACGCTCCCCCAGACTCAGCCTGGAACGTTGTGAAGGTGGGTGGAGGTTTCTGCTGGACGGTCGTTCTGCTAGCTCTGGTGAGACGCAGCGATTTCATCAGCAGTGGTCCCAGGGAGCGAGAGGAGGAGGCCTGGGACTGCGCCACGTTGCGCCTGTTGACGTGTTCGATGGTGAGATGGCACTGAAGCACCTGCAGAAACACCTCCCTGAACTGTCTGGAGGACAGGTTGTAGAGGAAGGGGTTGAGGACTGAGCTCAGGTAGAAGAAGGTGTCGGCCACCAGGTGGAGGGTGACGTAGCTCGAGAAGAAGGAAAGAGTCCAGTCAGACTTTGGAATAGCGGCCATCATGAGACGACGGATCTGGTTGGGAAGCCAGCAGAGCATCAAGGATCCAACGATGAGACCTGGGAAAAGAAAAAAAACCAACAAATGTAGAATATGGTTCAGATAGTTGGTATAAACAGGCTTTCCTTGATTCTGATCGCCATTATGGTCCCATGTCTCTGCTTTCAGCTCCTTTGTCCAGACCGCCCTGTCCTCCATTCACATGCTTCCTCTGACAATCTTCCCATGTCAGAGGATGAAGAGCAGTTAGTCACAGTCAGAGAAACAGGACTACACTGGAAAACAGGCCAAGCTCCAACATCTAGAAACAAAGGTGTTGATGGCAGCAGCAC